GTTTATCCATACAGGCTGATAATGGAGGAAATAGTTGTACTAAAGATACACAGAACTGTATAAATCCAAGAGCAAAGTTACAGATATAAGATGTCAAAATGCTGAGTGCTTTTCCAAATCTTATCGGACCTCTCTTCTCAGCATAATGGAATTTGGATTGGTCAGTATCTGGGCAGAACTGCATGACTTGCTGCACAATACCAGGCACCATCCCAAAACTCACCGGATTAACTGGACTGGACGTTCCCATCTCTAAAGGATCACTGCATTACTGGCTGCGTTTGACTAGGACATTTCCAGAGGAGCGGCCAGAGGAATAAGGTTACGCAGACTTGCTCATGGTTGGTATTTCACAATCTGTCTGCGTTAATGATGGTGACCCCTCTTCCACCATTTGAGGAGATGTGAAAGAGGCTAATGGGGCTGAACAAAGCGGCTTGTGTGGAGGCGGGGGCCCCGGTGACTGTGTGTTAGGCCTTGATGAGGTCTTGGTTTGTGATTCCTTCGGGAGGTGGTCCAATCTGAGCGTTATTAGGCCTTATTGAGCTGTGGGCACAGGTGTGTGTGTGTGTGTGTGTGTGTGTGTGTGCGGGGGGGGGGTCTATCAGGGACATTTGGCAGGGGCTTTATGAGAGTTCACACTAGATTGGAACAGCTGGACCGGTGCTCTGCTCTCATTGGTTGATAACAGTTGGTCCGTACTGTGCACTGTACCGTGGATCTATTATTGTAAATGGTGATACTGTATGAGACCTATTCAGTTTTAATCAAGAAATGGATTCTAATGTATTTTTATTCTTTCTGGGGAATCATGTTAAGCATCTTTAAAAGGGCCCATATTACCCTGTTTCCTAATCTATGTTATAATGTTTTCCTCATCACAATCGTACCTGGAGTTTTGTTTTGTTTCATTCACGCACAAACTCTCCATATTTAGACTGACTTTTTCTCTCAAATGTAAAATACTCAGTTCCACCTTGTGATGTCAAAGTGCTCCACTGTGTTTATAAACTGCATACAACTTCACTAGGATCATTTGGACAATTTTAGCCCAGGAATTGCCAGTCTCTACTCAACTAAAGGTGAGAGGGAGCTATTACCTTGGAAACTACCACTACGTGACATCACAAGGTGGAGCAGAGCATTTTGAGCTTTGGAGATGTGGATAGACTAATAATAAATGGTTACTCAAACATGAGTAAATAAAACAAAACACATAGGTTTCTGATGCAGTAACAACATTATAACATGGCCAAATGCTCACAAGAATCAATTTTGTGTAATATAGGATCTTTAAATACAGGTGGTCAAATATTAGCCACTAAAGACGAATGACCAGGCCGCACTTCGTCAATAAGGTCAATAAGGTGAAATGTGACTGAAGAGTGGAAGAGACATTCACCAATTTGGCGAAGCTGAAGCTCAATTTCACAATGCTGAGGCCTGCAAAGACACTAACTGCAGAAAACATATTACATTTTTTATGATAAGAATTGGTGGAGCTATTTCAAGATTATGGGCCAGAATAACCTTAATATATTCTCTGGATTATTAAGGTAAATTTCAGGTATATATAGTGTCTCATTTGACCCTTAAAGGTTGTATATTGTGCAAAATAGGCTCTTGTGAGCTTTAAGGCATGTTACAATGCCTCATGTTACAATCAGAAACATACCTGGAGCTGTGTCTGTTTCATTCACATGTTTGAATAATCCTTTAGTATTAGTCTGTTTACATCTCCTAAGGTCAAAATGTTCTGCTTCACCTTTTGATGTCATGAAGTAGTTTTGAAATGAACAGCTGCTTTTAACTTTTTTACCTTTAGTTCAGTAGAAATTGGCAATTCCAGGGCTGAAATTATCCAAATTATTCAAGTGAAAGTGCATGGAATTTAAAAACACAGTGGAGCACTTCCTGTATAACATGACATTACAAGCCGGAACAGAGTGCTTTCTGATTGAGAGAAAAACTGGGCCTAAATATGCAGGGTCTGTGTGTTAAACATGTGTGAATGAAACAAAACACAAGTCCAGTGATGTTTTTGATGAGGAAACAACATTATAACAGAGATCAGAAAATAGTGTCATATGAGCATAGAACCCATCTCCAGATCTTGGTCCAGGACTGGTCAGATTTATTTATTTTTTTAATGTATGTTTTGATTATTGCATTTGAGAAATAGGCTGCCATTTATGCAAACACAGAACAAAGCATGTTTGAACTCTCTATTAAAACACACACAATCTCTTTAGTATGAGCTAAAACGGGATTGGACTAAGCCTGGTTAATTGAATTTCACCCTTCTATATTTTACATATATTTGATAGCTGAATAAATATGAACACGCTCCCCTGAACCTACAGTATTAGCCCACTGTCTACAAAGCACGCATTAGTATTGACTTAGTGTGGAGAGCCTATAAAGTGGCCAGGTGGACAAACCTTGATTTCTATTTGTCTTGGCTTTGACCTTCTCCTTTTAGCACCTATAACGCTCAGGCTTCTGTAAATTCGGCACTATTTCACAGCACAAATTGCTTTTCCATCTTTTCAACCTCCACATTAGCCACACAAATTTTCTCTCATGACTATAATCTCTGTTCTGAAATACGATTGTGTCCGGGTCATGTGGTTTATTTGAACACGAGCACAAGTTGAGGCAGACTATAGTTTCCCCCACTACACTATATGAAACGTATTCATCATAGCAACTTGAGATATTGTTTCCACTTAATGCTTTTAAAGATGACAAATTACTGTGATATATTGCCTTGAGATTTGTATCTGTTCTCCTTTCTGGGAAATTTCAAACGTCTCATGAGTCATTAATAATTTGATGAAAAAGAGTATAGAATGCTGCAATGAGGAAACATAGGAAAAAGGGAATACAGAGGGAAAGTCCATTTGATTTAGCAGTTCACTTTAAAATGAACTTCCCATTATAGAGATGCTTTACAAATAGAATATGACACTATAATGAATCATAAACCTAATTATGAAACACTTATAATATTTCAGACAAATCATAATCGATGTAATCACAATTCCAAAAGAATAAAAAAAAAATTTGAGTGAACAGAAAAGAAAAAAAAGACACCACTTGCATAATAATTTTACATAATAGCCTGAAGACTGGATTCTCAGAGACTGGTGACCTCTACCAAGACACTGATCCTATTTGCTTTAGTAAAGATACGGAGCTTAGGCACAGTGGTGGAAGGCAACGAAGTAAAAATAGTAAAGTACTGTACTTAAATATACATTTTAAGTATCTATACTTTACTCAAGTAGATTTAAAAGTGGATACTTTTTACTTTTACTTCACTACATATGTCTATATTTTCAACTCAACTACATTTTTTAACGGGACTGAAAAGTAAAAGTATTTCTTATTATTGTTTGAGACCTGCTGAAAAGGTACAGGTTTTTAATTTTAACACGTTCATAGTTTGAGCAAAATATAATAAGTATAAACAACTAGGAAAAAAAACCCAGACTGATTCAGTTGTTTCTGTTGAACTAAATTTTGCACAAATCTTTATTAAAAACACGTCATTAGCTGGGGTTGGGAGGTATCAAAAAGTAGCAACATTATCAGTTTCATTATCATCATTAAAAAATCTGCAGCGCATAAGGACCTAATATAATATTATAATTTATTGATACCAAAATTTTTTTGCTAAGCACAAATTAATGTGTGGTGTATTTTCAACTTAATGCCATCACAATACTAGTATCTCTGCAGTTTGGCAGCATTTTGGCTTCAGGCACACATTTGTTTATGTTTAACAGAAATGAAACTTAAAACCACATGGCTCATTTGCATAAACTATAAAGCGTTGATAAAAACAGCTCTCTCCTTGTGTGCTGATGCAGTTCAGCTTCTGTCGGACTAAAGGACACGACTCAGTGGATTATACAGTACATGTTCTCTCTGTGACAGAGGATGTGCTGCTGATGGTGAGTCTGTTCTGTGCTTCTATCGCGTTGGAGTAGGTTCATGTGAAACTTTTCAGAGATTATAAGTCTGCAGGTCATACGTATAGAGCCTATAGGGGTGCAGCTTTGTAGCTTACCAAAGTCATACTAAAACATTTTGGTAATACGGTATTGCCGTATACCACGGTAAAAGGTTTAACAGTATCAAAATTTGGATACCACCCAACTCTAGTTATTAGATCTAAAAGTCTGCCCAAAATACTTTTTACTCTTTAAGTACATTTTTAAACAGGTACTTTACTGAAGTAGTTTTTTACATGTGATACCTTTACTAGAGTATTTTTTGCTCCGGTATTTATACTTTTACTTACGCAACAACCATTGCTCAGACAAAACTCAAAATAAGAATCTTCCAGTTTAACTGCTGTCAAGCGACACAGCAGCCCGTGCAATAATTGTAAAACTGGCTCATTTATTGACTTTTATGTAACCTGGAAAGTCCCTCTGAGATTAATAACCTAATTTTCAAGTGAGTACTGGCTCCAGAAGGAAGACTAGTGTACATGTTCAAGTGGCAGGGAAAACCAGAGCACTCAGAAAGGTCCCAAGGTCCCATGGTGTCCAGGAGTTGAACCCTGGAACTTCTTGCAGTGAGTGAATGTGCATGTGAGCAAACAAGCAAACACAAGTTAAAGGTCAATTCAAAATTCAATTGTGTGTGCGTTAAGCCATGATATAATGTTGTTGCTTCATGAAAAACATACCTGGAGTTGTGTTTTGTTTCATTCACACATGCTTGAGTAAGCCTTTATTATTAGTCTGGCTACATGTCCACAGCTTAAAATGCACTGTTCCAGTTTGTGATGTCATGAAGCTATAGTTTTCAAGTTAACAGCTAACTTTTACAGTTTGTTGAGTACAGACTGGCCATTTTTTCTGTGTTAAACATGTGTGAATGAAACAAAACACAACTCCAAGTATATTTTGATGAGGAAACAGCATTATAACAAAAATCTGAAAATCCCGTAATATGGGCTCTTATTAAGAAGCTGGTACACTTACGGTTGGCAGAGCTTGATGAGGTCCTGGTCGGTGGTCCCAGGAGGCAGACCCCGGATGTACAGGTTGGTCTTACTGAGTTGCTCCGCCCCTCCCTGACTGCAGCTGTTGGTGCTGGGGCTGGGAGGAGCCATGGGGTGAGGAGGCGGAGCATACGGCTGCTGCAAAAAAACACAAACAATAGAACATGAGCTACAGCGCAATTAACATTTACAATCCAGGCATTTAAAGGTAGCCTGATTCAGCGGACGGTTTCACTTCGTAGAACCCATCTGACCTCGTTTGCTTGACTGTAGGTGGGTACTTTTTTATTTAACCAATCGTAGCTATTTGGTCGTGACGTATGTAATGTGCCAAATCTTGTAGTAAGAAGGGCAATAACGTCTTTATTCTTGATAAAATTCACCAAACATTCTCTTGGTTCCGGCTTTAAATTCTCAATCTCGGGAATTGCTGCCAACGCACAATGTCTGTCTTCATCTACATCCATCTCGACCGCTTTGTTTACTGTTGTGCTGTACCGCAAAAGAGACCCAGACAGGTGCTTGAGTTTACGTCATGGCTTCACAGCTCTTTTCTGATTGGCCGGTGTGCGGTCTACAACTTCCGAGGTTCTTGCAAACAGTCTAGTGTATTCCGATTCCTGACCTAGTTGCTGGAGAGAAATTAAATTGAGTGGAGGCACTAGGTGGCACCAGCATGGCTAATTTAAAGTTGCATTGTGTAACTTTTCTGGTGGAAGGTCCGTCAAATGTTTTTCTCCATGGAGACGTTATTGCTTTGTCTGCAATGTTTCACAGTATCTTCATGGAGACCAAAACCAGACCAAATTATAAGTCAAATCACAGTTAGAATGCTGTTTTTCTAGGTATTTTTGAGCTATAAAACCACCTGTAATTGAATAAATGTAAGGCAGAGCTGTTTAATGCCATACCGTGGAACATTTTAAGCAGAGCTATGATATATCCATAAAAACAAGCAGGTGAAGGAACCGCCACCAGAAAAATTGCACAATGCACCTTTAAGCAAGAAAATAATTGCTTTTGGAAAGTAACTAGAATAGATTAGACAGAATAAATTGTTTATAAAGCGTCTCTTTGGGTGAACCTTTCCTTACATTTTTTATTTGATTTAAATTTTTCACCAAGGAAATCAGTCTTTATGAGGCCTCCAGCTGCTTATAACAGCTTTAAACGACGCTAGCCTCCAAACCTCCAAACCAATTACTTTACACTGTGAAACAATTTACTCCCCCATGATATCTAGATGCTGTAATCCTCCTCACCAGGCTTTTTTTTTTTTTTTCCAAACATCTTCATGTGGGGGTCTTTTCTCCCTGTCTAATCTCCAGCCGTGTATTCACAATGTATTCAATATAGCCTTCCTATTCCTGTGCGATTGCCTCCCTGCGCTGCTCGTGTGCCTGTTGTGCTGTTAGTGTAGATTTATGGTATAGGAGTCAGGGCCCCCTGCACACACACCATTTACTATATCTCTATTGCAGGGACAGAGCACACAGTGACAGAGTGAGAGAGTGGGGGGCCCCTGGGCATGTGTGAGAGAAAGAGAGAGAGAAGGGGAAAGGGAAAGAGGAAAGAGAGAGTTGAATGCTGCAGTGAAGTATGGAGTGATGGATGAGCAGAGAAATGGAGGACAAGACTAAGCACCAGCAGGACGAGTATTATAAAGCAACAATATTTTGCATCTGAACCCTAAACAATAAAACTCTAAACCATTTTTCTGTAGCAGATCTTGAACGCGCCAACATCGTCCTCGAGCACAGCAATGCAGTAATTTCAGAAAAACATGATACAGGCTTTATCAGGGTCTATTTACAGAGGGTTTTTGAAGTGTCACTAGACCGCACTGAGTGGAGGGGGATAGTCCCTTACAGATAAGAAAACATTCTCCAATTGCTTATTCTTGTTGGGCTTTCAATCCTGGTTTTTAACTTTTTAACAGCACAACAGATACAAAAAGCAATACAAAATACAAGAAAATCAGTTTGAGTCAAGTTTAACTTTTACTTTCTCACAATATTTCTCACAAATCGCCCCAAAACTGTGTTACTTGGAACTTCAAAAAATTCTATTGCTACTTTTGCCACAACATTAGATTTGAATTTAAAAAGAAAACACAGAAATTCACTTTTTTTCCTCCACTCACTTTTCCTGCCCTCGCGCCTGTTTAAATTAAGCTCCTGGCGTCTCCTCCACCAGACAGGAAGTCAGAGAGAGGGCAAAAGTAACATTGTGCTGCTTTAACCCCTGAGCCTCCCGGGGGACTACCTCCAGACCACATACCAGGCTGTAAAGACCTCCCGCCCAGCCTCCTGCGTTAGCTAGCCTGCCCGAGCATGGCTGATTTGATGTGCTATTTTAAGCATGTGAGCCGTGCCAGCATGTCACCTCCCTCTTCGCACTCAAAGGGTCCCTGGAGCGTGAACGGGAGTCACGTCCGTCAATGGTTGGACCAATTACCACGCTGGGCTAAGTGGAACTGATGAGCAGACACATGCAGCGCGCCGAGCTCACTGTACACAGAGGCTGAGCTGGGTAAAGGGATTTTCAGGTGAGGGGCCAGAACTGACACCACCGATCAGGAAGTAAAGAAGTAAAATATGAGTTTGTTAAGGAGAATTTAAAACTTGGAGCAACTAAAAAGTGGGGCTAAACTGGGACTATAAACCTGGAACTAAACCTGGACCAGATTAGGATTGAACCAGATTCAGAAGAGGAACAAACAAAGACTCCATCAGGATGAGAAATAAGCAAATCTATCAGCCAATATTTGCACTTTTTAACGCATCAGCTATTGTCTTTAAATCTCCAGCACAGGCCGATATTTAGTTTTGGCCTGTCTTAAGAATACACTAAGCTTTATTTGAAAACTTTATTGCTAAGAGATAATTATACAAAATGTGACGGCACAAATCTATTAAAGGTTTGCAGAAAAATAAATAAATAATCTGTCCCAATTATCAGCACAAAAATATCGGCAGAGATTATCAGACATTGTTTGCTGTGGATTCCAAAAAATGAACATCGGCATCAGCCACGTTAAAAAAAAATATATATAAATATAAATACAAATTTAAAAAAGTGTTTCTCATCTTCCACGGTGGTTGGTCTCTCTGGGGCTTAAAAATGCAAAAATCTGAAACCACCCTCCAGAGTGCAAAAGTTGAATACGCTCTGCCGTAGCGTTTCCATCTACACTGGCCAAGACGCACAACTCTGGTCAAATATGCTCACGTCGCGTACGCGTTTACGTCACATACATCACCACCTAACCGCCTGACATGCATACCCAATCAAATTCTACCACCTTTGCGTCACCGTATGCATGCAGCTTTCCTCCCAAAAACACTCGTCTAAATGCAGAATAAAAAGTGAAGACACAACGCTACTTTTCCATCTTCTGTTCAGACCGTCATCATATAAACGCAGTCTTAGACTAAACTGTGAGGAGTTAAAGATTCACTGTGTAACTTTTCAGATTCAAAGTCTGCTACCTGCATTTCTCCATTGCTTTCCTTCGAATGTTTAATAGTCTGGCCTTATAATAATGCATTTATCTCCATGAAGACAACAGATGGAGCTTCCAGGCCTTTTTACAGGTCAGATCAGTGGAGAGGCAAGCCCATTTAGAGTAACAAAACAGATTTAATGCTATGCTGTGTAACTCTCCAGGCAAAGCGAACACATTCCAACGAGACAAGCAGGTGGCATTCCAGAAAAAGTTACTTAATGCACCTTTAAATTGGGTTAAAGGCAGAATAAACATCACATTCAGGACGATTCAAACTGACCATTTGGTAAGATTTATAACGAGATGTGTAAACCAGAATGGAGGAGAGGGTGCGATTCTGTTAATCCATGTTCTCCCACCAACCCAAAGGTCAGTGGTTCAATTCCAGATCCAACACAGTGATACTGTCATTATGTCCTTGAGCAAGACACTCCCATACCACTTCAAATGCACTGAGGCCTACAGTAAAATTACACTATTCAGCTCATGTTATGACTGTGAATGAATGGTTATTGTTACATATCCCACGATCTCTTCACGTTTTTGCCCTTTAGTATAATTGAAGTATTATGAACACTTTTCTCACTTTTTCTTACTATATATTCTGTTTATGAACTTACCGCAAATACAATAAAACTCAAAGCTACCTCCAAATCTATAAATCTCCACAAATCCAGCGTTAAACTCACACTAGGCCCGATAGCCGCCTTGTTCCGGGACCTCGTGCACCCATCCCATTCGTCATCCCACAGGAGCGATTCAGGACTGCTTTTTTGCGCTCTGTTTTATTCCCTCGCCGATAACCTTGCTCTCCAGCTCTAAACCCAACACTGTAAGTAATGTGGCGAGTTTGACCCTCTATGCTTCATTGTGTAAGATTTCAGCTTCTGACCTTAAGAAATGAAAGCAAATCGATAGGGTGGGACGCCTGCATTCCACAGCCTCAGTGCTAGCCAAGCCTGCAGTTGGGTTAGAGAAGGAGCTACAAACACTGAACTAGGACAATGGGGCCAGCAATTAAAAACAGCTCCACCTAATGAGTTATCTTGTTTAAATGGAAATCCAATGGGTTCACTTAAATACATAAAATGAAATGTTAAGCGTGCAATGAACTTAAACTATGAACAAAAGGTTAATCCTCCACATAAAAAGGGAATGTATACATTTTCAGTTAAAGTATTAACTAGAGATGATCTAATCCAATACTGAAAAATTAACTGGGATAAATATGAGCTTCAAAATATTGATTCAATCGATCCTGGTTTGTCTTATAAAATCATGTATAAGATCTTTATTGGTTGTAGTCGACCTAGAAAGTCTTAGAAAAATGTTTATTTATACAATGTTACTCTGTGGTTAGTGGCGGGATAAATCACAGCTACATAACACATTTGGAGCCGTTTTGTGAAATTTTGTTTTTGTTTAAAGGAAATAAATGCTGTTTTTCATTCACTCAAAACTACTACACTCAAAGCTATAGTATCAAAATCAGATCAAAAAAATATATTAACAAATTTGATTGAAATATAATAATATAATAAGATGAGCCAAAATGATCTTATACATTAATACAGATGTGTCAAACTCAGGCCCGGGGGCCAAATTTGGCCCGCAATATAATTATATTTGG